TTAAGGTCTTGAGATGGAGGGTCAATCTCTTGCCTCAGATTGCTCATTTGAATACAGAAAAAAAAATATATATATATAGCATTTTGTTATAATGAATGTGCTAATTCATTATAAAGGAACTCTGATGGTGCTGTCGGATCAGCATTGGCTTGCTAACCACGAGGTAGGTGGTTTGAAGTCAGCAGCCCCACCTCAAGACAAAGATGAGGCTGTCCGCTTTTTGCGGCCTTGGAATACATTGTAGGCAAAGTTTTTTGTTTTGTGTGTATTTCTTCTGTTTTTCAAACACAAAGCAGATGTTTCCAAAAACATTTCCTTTCATCCTTTTAACCACATGAATGTGGTTGGATTATACATACTAGACGATGAACTTCTTTATCATTATTAAGCCTGCTAGGCCAGTCTGTCAAGATGTAGTATGGAATAGAAGAACCAGTGAGGAAGCAAGCATAATCCATGAGCATAATTCTTAGCAGTAACTCCTTTTGTGACAATATGAGGCAAAAGGGTCGGCTGCTACAGACATTTAAAACTGAGAAGAACTTTAGGTTATGAAATTTCTAATGGTTTTCAGAGAAATCTGGGATGAATGGATAGAATGAACTGCAGTGTAGTTTCAACAGATTGTTCCCTTCCTTGTACTGCCGTATGTATCTAGGACTCTTCAGTATGTAGGACAGGTCTACCTGTATTTGTAATTTCCTTTATTAATCAATTTAATAACTGCTTTCAGTTAAACCACGTGGTATACTTTCTTTAAACTCTTAGGTTGGTAATATGTTTAATAAATTTAAAGTTTCCCTTCATTGATAATATTATTCTATAGATACATGATTCTCTCCACTCTTCTTTATAGTATATAATAATAGTAATAGTAGCAAAAGGTGCTATGCTCTTGCTATGTGCCAAATGCGGCTCTATGAGCTTCCATGTTCAGTGAACTTGTGAGAGCCGGAACTCGTCTCCCTTTTTTTTTTCTCTCCAGGTCTCACAGGTCTTCCACCCTTACCTATGCAGTCTTACATTTGTCCTTCTCTGGCTCTGACATTTGCAGATTTTACTAGACAAAGTCACTTAATATTTCAACATATCTATAAATTACATTACAGCCCTTTTTTAATAATGGGAAGCTGGGACACACAGAGGTTGGATACTTTTCCCTTAAGAGTCACTCAGCAAGGCAGCAGGAGCAGTGAACTTGAAACGCATACCTACTGACTCCATATTCCACACACTGGCCCCTGAGCGTGCTGCTCTGCCTCCTCTTGTTCTGTGAAAGGTTTCCAAATGTGCTTGCACTGATGTACTGTCCAAGCCGTGGCCCCATGATGCGTAGGTGACTGTAACCACGCTTCAGTCAGAAAAGAACATCTTTTGAGATGGAGGATCATTTGTTATCATTTTAAAGCTACACAAGCGCTATATACCACAACCTATGCATTATTTAAAAACTGCAGTTTGAGTAACTCATTCTAAATAAATAATTCACATCTCCCTTTGCAGAATATTCCTTAGAACACTTAACAGTTTTGTTTCCCTCATTCAGTTCCACACGCAAAGTGTCATGGTGAGAGTCCACTTTCCAGATCAGTCTGTGTTAGTCATCAGTTTGCTCACATGTAAGCAGTGTATCCATGGGAGTGAGGGTGGCATAGAACATAAATACTCATCAAGATTCGATATTTAGGACTAGTTGCCACTATGTACATAAATGGATGTAATGGGTGGTACATTAATGTGAATTCATGTAGATAAGGTGCTGGCCTGCCATCCACAAGGTTGGAAGTTCTGATTTATCTCGAGGTGCCTTGGAAGAAAGTCCTGCCAAGCTCCTTCTGAAAACGCTTCCATTGAGAACCATGTGGAACACTGGTCTACTTGGCCCACGTGGGGTTGCCATTAGCTGAAATTGACTGGATAGCAGCTAGTTTGATAGGCTTTCGTTGAATCACTGTATACATGATCTATTGTTGCTCTCACAGTTGACCTCTTAGTTTCTGAATCATCACCACAAAACAGTGATAAATGTGATCAGTTAAGGAGCTGTGGAATTTCAACAACAGAAAAATAACGATGCAGTGTTTGAGATGATCCTTGTTTTCAAAGAGATTTAGCTCCCAACAGTGATTCCCAAAGCCTGCGATGCTGACACTGCCCTGAGGGATGTGAGGAGCCTGTTGGAATGACCCAGGGGGCCTGCAAAGGCAGATACCTACACTTTATCCTGGGTCGTGGACGGTCATAGGAGTGTGGGTACATTTTTTTCTTCCTGAAAAGGAGCGGAAGGCCAAATAAGTTTGGGAACCTGTAGCTTAGAATATCATACATTTGCAAATCGCAACATTAAGCTGCACCTTAAATTATGTGAGGAGTCCCAGTGGGGTAGCGGTGACATGTTGGGCTGCTAACCACAGGTCAGGATTTTTGAAAGCACATGCTGCTCCAAGTGAGGCTTCCTACTGCCCCCACAGTTACAGTCTCGGGAAACCAAGGGACAGTTCTACTCTGCCCTGCAGGGGACTCGAATGACACTGCCTGGATGGCGATGTGTTTGGTTTGGTTTGGTTTGGTTTGGGGTTAGACTATGTAACAAGGCAGCATCCAGCACAAAGCTGTTGTGTGGTTCCTGAAAATTCTGATGCTTAGAGGAGTTCTTTGACAGTATCTGGAGTTTGTTTTTCGATAAATCTGATTCCCTGTAAAGCATTTACCAAGAAAAAATGTTGAAGACATGAGTCAGTGGGTTTTTAGTTGCTGTTTATGATCCAGAAATTCTCGACCTGCAAGACACTTTACCTTGACAATGTCAAAAAGTCTCAGTGACATCATTTCCATGGAAAATAACATTGCCGTCAATTACACACAGACTTAATGTTCACTTGGTGCCAAGGATATTTTGGCGATAACAATTTAGAACCATTGAAAGCGACAGCTCAAGTTTTGATACCAAATACAAGCTTGAAGGTGAAAAGAGTGTCCTTTGATTACATGCTGATACCACCAGCTTTCCAGATACCTCCCACCTGAGTACTATTACCTTCTCATTGCTCTGGAGCTGGTAAGTATCAGCGCACTGAATGAGAGCAAAGCGCAGGCCCAGTGTTGACAGCCTGAGACAGTCTCCCACAGTTGTTTAAAGCTAAAGCTCTTGTCTTTGCTTTTAGTCTAGACTGGCCTAAGCCCTATTTTAGCAAGATGGTAATGTAAACTAGCATGGAAAGGAATGCACCAGCTGAAACTGGTAAGGAAATCATATCTGCTAGTCTTTCTATCTTGTTGACTTAATAAAAATATTTAATGGAAGAAATCCAGTTCTCTGAAGTTGTCGTGGTAAAAGTGACTCGCCACACTGTACTCACTTGGAAAAATTCCACGGATCATATTTGGGCCCCAAATGCTCCAGATCTCAGTACTTCCTGGGAAGCATTAGGTCGAATGCATATATAATGGCAGACTGTTAAAAACAGCCAGGCCCTCCTTGAGGAATTTGAAAGGAATTCATATTACTTCACATTTCATAGGTGCCAGATATTTTATCCAATAGCACAGATTTCATGCATCATTCATGGTAATACATTATTGATTCATTCAATATAAATCTACCTGCATTTCTTTATTATGTATATAAAGTGTATTCACACTTGGAAAATGGCATGGAGAATATGGTTCTGTCTTACAAATTTGTAAGCACCAGCTCAAAGAGAAATGTTTACGTAGTTCACAACAACTCTGATTATGTGCTGGAGCCAGTATTGCTGTCACCCTCTGTTTTACAGACTGCTTTGCTGTTTCAAAAAGGGGTCCAGCCTCTGAAATTACCTTTTCCCTGAATTCCTTAAAACTCGCTCTCCCGAGCTGTCTGAGCTGTGATGAATAGCCATGAGCATCTCCCGAGAGCTTCACGCTCCAAGGCCTGATTGTTGGCGTGGGTGGTGGTGAGGACCCAGACCGCAGTCAAGGGGAGAGAAGACGATGTACCACTGCTGTGTTCTCTGGAGGGAAACTGTGGACCCTGTGTGCACAGATGGCCTGTGGCTGCCAACATCTTCAGAGCCAGCGTGAAACTGGTGTCACTCACTGCTCCTTTTGCATCCCCAGCCTCAGTTACAAATGTTACCCTTTGCAAGACAACGAGTGGTGTTATTTAAACAGGATTGGTCTCTAGAAAATGACATAGATAAGAGAAGGGCATTTATAGTTTTGTTTTTCTGAAGCCCCACAGTCCCCAGAGATAAGCCTGAGTACTATACCATTTTAAGGGTCCACCTTTCTCTAAATCACAGATACATAAAACAGAAATAGACCAAGAAGCTCACATAAATAGAAGAAACCTTCTAGTATTGTTACAAATGCCAATATATTCACATAAATACAGGTAGCACTTGCATTACTAAACAGCCTCCTTAAAGCCAACATTATAGTTTAAGATCATTAACTAAATGACAAAATTCATGAAAGCAGTCACACATTCTGAATCCCTTATGAACCTGGTCAGGAGGATACTCAAGTTTTCAGATGCTGTTTCTCCTGCAAGGGCCTCTGATGGTGGTGTGGGTTATGTGTCAGGTTGCAAACCGCAAAGTCCAAGGTTCAAATCCACCCACCATGCCTTGAGAGAGAAAGAGGGGCTTTCTGCTGCAGGAAAGACTTACAGCTCAGACCCCACCGGCGCAGTGCTGCTCTGCCCTCCGGGGAGGTTAGGAGTGAGAGTCAACTGGATTGCAGTGAGTTTGGTATTTTGGTTGATTTCTCCAAGGCCAGGGTCACCTGAGGCTCTGCCCCACAGCTCTTTCCCTTTTGCCAGTCAGAATTCAAAAATGATCTCTCTAGAAAGACGGAAGCTTTCAGTCACTGATTTGGTGACTTAAGCAGGAAAAGGCTCAAGAGTCAAGCTTTTAATCTTTTCCATAAACATCAAAATCCCTCAGTGCCCATTTCACCTTGCTAAGCCACCAGTGGACTACAGAGAAGATCTTATCTTCAGCTATATTATGACTTACCTTCAACCTGGAACAGTCTGACCGAACGCTAACCAGTTGGGATGGGGTCATGCCGTCTGTTGCTGTAGAATTTGGTAACTTCATTCCTCCCCCTGGCTTTGCAGCACAGCAGCTCTGTGGAGAGGAAGGAGACAGTTTACCCGTGGAGTCGATTCTGACTCGTGAAGCCCCCGTGTCATAAAGTAGAACCTCTTCCTGGGGGCTTTCTGCTGCCATTTTGGGCAGACAGATTGCCAGGCCTTTTCTCACGGCCCTGCGGGGTGGATTCAGACTGCCAGCTGGTCCATTAGTAGTTGAGCACACGCTGACTTACCAGCCAGGGAGATGTATAGATAGTGCAGATAGCTTAAACGATTCCTTTTTAGCATTCTGTTATGTTTCTAGGGCCGGGTGTCCTTTTCTCACCTGCTTTCTTTTCCTGGTAGATACGTTCTTCAACCAATAGCCATTGAAGAAAAGCCGTGTTGCAAGGATCCAAACGAATAAGCAACACTGCCTTTGAGTTGATGGTGAGTCAGCAGCAGGGTAGAACTCACAGGCAGAACTGCCCCTGTGTTTCCCAGACTGTACCTCTTCCAGGAATAGAGACCCCTGTCTCTCCCATGGAGCAGGGGACTGTCAACTGCTCAACTTACAGCACTATACCACCAGGGCTCCTAACTATGGCACAAAGTACTATACAAGAGTTAAAGGGCCTCTGCTTTATGTATCCACCATCTTTATCGTTCTACTTACTTTACCCAGATTCTTTATTTGTATAATGAGCTGGTTCAAAATTCATTGATGGAATTTTCAAAAGGGAAAGTGCAACATACCCAAATGCGGACGCATGCACACAGCACAATATCGGTTCCTGTTGCTTCATACAACCAACTACTGGCTGCTGTTGCTGCCTATCACCACTGTTCTGTCAGGTTGTGGCACTGTGGTGGCTCGCGTGTGGCCGGAATGCTGGAAGCTCTTGCAAGTGCAGCAGCAGCACTCACGGTGGGAAGGTTTCAGTGGGGCTTCCAGACGAAGGCAATCCAGGAAAACGTAAAAAGTGGGCCACTTCTGAAACATTAGCCACAGACAATTTGATGAATAGCAACAAATCACTGTCGGATCTAGTGCGGGAAGATGAGCCCCTCAGGTTGGAAGCAATCACAATACAACTGGGGGGAAGAGCTGCCTTCTTAGAGTAGAGTTGGCCTTCATGATTTGCTTACAGCAAAGCTTCAGGATCTTCCTGTGTTGATGTGGCATTTTACAAAGTGAGAAGACAGCTGCAATCATTCATTAATAATCAGAACATAGAAAGTAAGAATTCAGAATCTAGAAAAAAATTGGAAGTAATCAAAAAGGGATGTGGCACTGCTTCAGTTTCCCACTGCTCAAAAACCTACTTTTCTGCTAGGTTTGAAAATTCACTGCAGTGGCTACTTAGACTCACAGATGATACAAATAGAGCGGCATTTATTAGGAAAGTTAACAGGTTACCATTTGTGTGAGAAATGCTTAGGTTACAGTTGTTAAGTAAAAATGGTTTCTTTCTTTTTTGTGCCTGCCAGCAGTTTTCCCCACCTAACCCAAAACCTCTTGGCCTGACCTCTTCCCTGCTTGTGTAATATTACAGAGCTCTTTAGGAATGCCACTAAGTGCTCAAAGGGCATCCCCTTCTGCTATACGCCTCAACCCAGGGGCACTCAGCTCCCACTCTGTGGGTCAACAAGTCAGGCTCCCCAATTAAGTGGCCAGAGGCCCACCCACTCCACAAAACAGCCTCTTGCCCAAATGCACTACAAGGCGACATTTTTGTCTATTCAGGAAATTGACAGATGTCCAGAATGAGGTTTGTCATCAATCCACATTTCACCTTTCTTTAACTGAGAAAACCACTCGTACACTTCAGTTACTTTACTTTACTTTAGTTACTTTAGTTACACTTTAGTTTCCCATAGTGCTGCCCTTGTAAGCTTTGTTCAACATCACAACAGATTCTGTAGCATTTTTCCTGAGCAGGAAACAAAATCCTCACAGCCGCACCCTGTTCTCTTAAATCGGCCATCACAAAAAAACGAGATTGGAGTGAAACTGCTTTTATGAAAAAATTTACTGTGACCAGAGAGAACCTTCCCAGATTGTGCCACTGGGTGCACTAACTCAGAGTTCGTTGCTGGATGCTGACCTAGCGGGGGGAAATGCACACTATAAGAGCTCCCCTCTGCCCAGCACAATTCCGGATCTTTTGGGGTACCCCGTCTTAGACTGTTGCTGGCAATTTTGAACCAGATAATCATATAAAGGATACAGCATTGGATTATAGGAAGATTATTTTATAACCTGCAACATAGATTATTTTATAACCTTGGTTACTAGAAGGGGACATGAACCCCTACTTTGATGAAGATCAACAATTACTGCCTTCAATACGGATTGCACTTCTACATAAAGGAAACTAAAATCTTGACAACTGAAGTAATAAATAGCAGTATATTTAACTGGGAAATTATTAAAGGTATCAAGGATTTTATTTTGCTTAGAACCACAACTAGTATTCATGGAAACAGCCATCAGGAAATCAAATAATGCACTGCAATGGGCAAATCTGCAAAAGATTTAAAGTGTTACAAAGCAAAGATGTCTCTGTTATGATCAAAGAATGCCTGACCTGGGCCATTGTGTTTTCAGACACCTCGTATGCAAGCAAACCGTGGACAATGAGTAAGAAAACTGTGAGATCTTGTAGAGACCTGCGCTTATCTCACAAACCGAAAGGGTTTGAGGAGTACAATCCACAAGTAGAAACATACCTACAAAAGAGACAGACAAAAAGTTGAGGCATGGGGGTGGGTGGTGTCTCTGATAGGTACATCGGAGCCCAGAACTTTATTAGGGGTGAGTTTATATACTCCCTAGGTCCCGTAGCCAGCATGCTCCGGCCAGGATTACACACGGCAGTTTACAATTCTTAAGGCATACGGAGAAACATTAGCTCATTAACCCAGGCTGTTCCATGACAGAGGGGAGGATGGGGCTTGGGAAAATGAAGTAACTGATAAACTGCGGGGGGGGGGGGGGGGGCAGCTTTCTGCAGCCTTGCCAGAGAGTAGGAGACAACATGTCCATTTCTATCGGGCAGAGAAATTTACCAACAGTTGCTTCAATCAGTTCCCTGGGATGAGCTGTTACCCTTCCCTGACGGTGGACCATGAAATGTGTCAGTCCCTCCCCATTTACCAAAGGAACAAACAACTTTTTCCCACAAAAGACCAAAGAAGAATTGATGTTTTCAAATTGTGTTTCTGAATATTATTAAATATACCATGAACTGCCAGAAGAACAAACAAATCTGTTTTAGAAGAAATACAACTAGAATGCTTCTAGGAGCAAGGATGGTGAGTCTTTATCTCACGACATTGGACATAATGTCAGAAGGGGCTAGTCTCTAGGGAAGGACATCTTGATAAAGTGCAGGGTCGGTGACAAATAGGAAGTCCCTCAACAAGATGAACTGACATGGCGTCTTCAAGAGTGGTCTCCAACATGACAATTGGGCAGATGGAGCAGAAGTGGGCAGTGTTCCGTTCCGTTATAGGTACGTTTGTTATGGTTCTACCTGGCCTGATGACACTTAACAATAACAGAAAGATCTGGTATGGATGCCTTTATTTAGGTCAGTAAAGAGAGAATCATTAAATTTCATGTAGGAGATTTGTCATGAAGTTAAAGAAGATGTCATGGGGATCATGAAGGGTGCATGGAGAAACCAGAAACTCTAGTGTCATAGTCAATTCTGGCTCACAGTAACCCTGTGATGCACATAGATGGTATAATATACAAGGTACGCCCTCTGCCCCCTTTCCTCCCTCCCTCTCTCCCCAACCCTTCTGCTTTTGAGTTGATGTGTACAGAGTAAGACTGTTCCGTGGGGTTTTCTCGGCTGTGATCTTTCTGGAATTCGCCCGGCCTTTCTTATCTCGTGTTTCTGAGTGGGTCCAAATCGTAAACCTTTAGCAGTCAAGCACAGGCTGTTTTTGTCACTTTGGAACATTGTACAAGGAGTCAACCAAACAGCCCACGACCATTAAGTGGATTAAAACCCTAGAGGGCAGAGAAGACGTATTCAATTCAGGTTTCTGAGGCTATAAAGCTTTATGGAAGGAAAAAGCCTTATAAAGGGTGTGGAAAACCATTTCACCAACTGAATAAGAAGACTGGGGCAAGGACTAGGATTAGGTGCAAAAAATAATTTTAGGTAGAACATGTATGTATGTGTGTGCACAGATGAATAATGTTTCTACTACATATATATAATCAATTATTTCAAATTGTTTATCAGTCATTACATGGAACTTAATGAAAATTTGCTTGTGAAGAATCCTATAATAGGTACTGAATTAGACAGTTTAAAAAATAAATTTCAAGAAAACCATTGGTGGTGGTGGTTAGCCGTTCACATGGACTTGATTTCGATTCTTAATCGACCTTCCCGTGTGCATAGTAGATCTATTCCATAGGGTTTTGCTAGGCCAGAGCTCAGCAAACTTTGGTTAGCGAGCGCATTCAGTTCTTTCTGTACATATCTGTGGCTCTGAAATAAAATTTAGCAATTTCTAAGGATATTATTATTCAGATGCTGGTGATTTCTTTGATTGGTAAAAATGTATTTGTGGCTCTTGAATAATTTTTAAATTTTTGTAAGGGACAGGATTGGCTCTTCTGTTTCAAAAGTTCGCCGCCAAGCTGTGGGCTAGGCTGTTTTCCTTCAGAAGCTGCTCACCGGGTGCATCTGCGTGCATTCAAACTGCCCTGCTTTGGACTAGTCGGCGAACACTCAACTGTTTGTGGCACCCAGGAAACTTTATTCCAAAGATTCGTTCACTGACTTAAACTTAGGACTACATTATTATGGTCCCCGTACCTAAAACTCAGAGACCTGAAATCCTTCATGAGTAGCCTGGACACCTACTTTAGGAGCGTAATCCTTTTTTAGAGAACACAGTAACCACTGTGAATTAGTAAATTTCCCTTTATGTGGGTGACTAATGATAACAAAAAACAAAAGGAAACCTTTTCAGAACAGAATCCTTTAGGCAAGAGAGATGGCAGAGAAAGAGAAGATAGGAACTAGA